GACGATTGGGATAAAGAAGAAGCCATCTTTGATGAACAAGTGATTCTATTTGGGGAGGAGGAGAAAGAGGAAAAGAAAAGGGGGACTTTAAGACTTGAAAAAACAACCAAAAAAGACAAAAATGAGTTGAAAGGTGGATACAAGGTTAGAAAACAACAGAAAGGGGGAAAGCAGAAGAAGAAAGGGGAGGTGGAGAGACAAAGGGGTAAAAAGGGTAAGGAGAAGAATAAGCAAGGGAGAAAGGAAGGGATGAGAAGCCTTAATGATGGGAAGCAAGATTTAAAGAAACAAAATTCATTTAGAGACAACGGGTAAATTTAATTGAAAAAGGGATTCTGTAAGGTACATAAGACTGTGTTTTTATATGTGTCTTTAGAATAAAATGCTTAAGATATCAATGAGTATTAATATGTATGATTAATTTTTTAATGGTATTGATAGTGGTCCTAGCTATATTATATACCTATAAATCTGTTCCTTTGTTGTTGTTGTTGTTGTTTTTTCTTATATAATACATTGTGTAATTTTAGAATGTACTAAACAGAATCCCAATACAAGTTATGTGTTATATTAAGTATTATTAAGCTAGGGGAAAGAGTTAAAGGCGTCATACTCCAATCAGTGTACAGGAGAAGTTTTGTTTAAAGAGAAAAGATGAATGGATAGCTGGAAATAGAACAGACAAAGAATGACAAGTATTATGATTTGAACTGAGATGAGATAAATAAAATAAAACTAAGAAAGTTAAAAGAGGGAAGAAGCTATATAGAAAATTGAAAATGGTAATAAGATATGGAATGGTATATAAAATGAATATAATTTTTGAAGTTGTGTCTGTACGAAGAGTTTTAACCCGGGATCAAGCAACTTTCAGAAAAGATTTATGTTTTTATGTTTTATGTTTTGTTTGTTTGTGTATTGTCCTTGAAAAGCAATAATTTTATTTTTTTTAGTAAGAAATATAATTTGAATAATAGAATGAAAGGGAGAAACAAAGAGAAGCTGGGATAAGATATGAAGTTGAACAAATAATGTAAATATATATATTAAATTGTGTTTGTATGTGATAATTTGGATTTATTTTGTTTTTAAATAAGATGTTCTATTGGTCTTTCTAGAAAAGATCTTTTATGTTATTATATTCTATGCTTTGTTTGTTTGTGTATTGTTTTGTAAAAACTAATAAAATTTGTTTAAAAAAAAAAACAGACCTCCAAGCCTTCCTCGGACTCATTAATTTCTATAACATTTTTCTACCCCAGAAAGCGACTGTTGCAGAACCTCTGCATAGACTCCTTGATAAAAAGGCTTCCTGGATATGGGGACGGCGAGAAGAGCACGCTTTTCACCAGATAAAAAACCTTTTGACTTCAGACACAGTCCTTATGCAATACAATGAAACGCTACCTCTGACTGTTACTTGTGACGCATCGCCTTTTGGGGGTGGTGCCATCCAGAGCCACGTTCTACCAAATGGAACGGAAGCCCCCGTTGCATTCTTTTCCAGAACATTGTCCAAGCCAGAGAGGAACCATAGCCAGCTGGACAAAGAAGCCCTCACCATTGTTTCAGCAGTAAAGAGATTCCATGAATACATTTATGGTAGGACATTTTCCATTATTACAGACCATAAGCCCCTACTTGGCATATTGGCGGGTGACAAGCCCACTCCACTCTGAATTTCTTGCCGCTTATAATTACAAATTGACACATCGCCCTGGCAAGACAATCTCGCACGCCAACGCCTTAAGCCGCTCCCCCTTGCCAGACTTGCAAGAGGACCCAGCACCCACATTACCAGTTTTGCAAATTGAAACGATCCCCATGCCACCAGTAACCGTGCAAGACATCGCCCACGAAACTAGGAAGGACAGACGCTTGGCGTGAGTTCTCAGCTGGGTGGAGAGGGGATGGCCAGAAACCAAGCCAAACAAACTTTTTAAACCGTTTAAAAACTGGCAAACTGAACTGAACTTGTGTGTTGTGGGGAGACCGGGTAGCAATACCAGAGACACTACAGAAAAAAGTTTTAGACTTGCTGCATGACGGGCACCCTGGTATTGTGCGCTTGAAAGCCCTGGCCAGGAGCTACGCTTGGTGGCCAGGCATGGACAAGCAAATTGAAACCTGGGTCACCGCTTGTAACAGATGCCAAGAGACTCGCTCGGCTCCCCCTAAGGCCCCACCATTAGAATGGGAAACACCCAGAGGCCCTTGGTCGCGCATCCATATTGACTTCGCAGGGCCAACCAAGGGGCACACCTTCTTAATCACTGTTGACGCTTATTCAAGTTGGCTCGAGGTGAGCACAATGAAGACAACCACCACAGAAGCTGTCATCAAGAAATTAAATAGACTTTTCGCAATGCATGGTCTGCCAGATGTTATCGTTTCTGACAATGGGCCACAATTTACCGCCTTGGCTTTTGAACAATACTTGGCAGACCGCGGCATCCGACACGCATTGACATCGCCAGCTCACCTGGCGGCGAATGGTAGAGCTGAATGCATGGTTCAATTTACAAAAAAAAAAACTGCACAAAATGGAACATGGCAACATCCACGAGAAGATCACCAGGATGCTTCTTCTACAACATATCACACCAAATACCACTACCACCAAGAGCCCAGCAGAGCTATTAATGGGCAGAAGACTCAGGTCACCTCTAGACCGCCTGCACCCTGCTTACACTCCAGAAAAACCCCTTGGTTCCAGCAGCAAGCACCGCGCCTTCAAGGTAGGAGACACTGTATTTGCCAAAAACTTTACAGGGGACCCACTTTGGATCCCTGCAAAAATCACCCAAGTCACAGGCCCCCACTCCTACCGGCTCGAGACCACCGATGGGAGGTCGTGGAAATGTCATATTGACCAGCTAAGATCCAGGCTGTCCGCTTCCCCCTTCATAGACTCTAACCAAGAAATCAGAGGGGGGGGGGAACCTCAAGTTCAGAAAATGAACGAACATCTGTACAAGTAGAACACCCCCCACAGACATTAAACAAAAACCAACAATACTTACCAGCCAGAAGGGAGTCGTGGCAGACGGGCACTTCGCCTGGAAGCAGCGGCCGGACAAGCTCCACCACCCCAGAGAGCCCAGGCGGGAGCAGCAGAGCAAACGACTCAACTGACCCAGAATCACCAGGCGGGAGTCGCCGCCAGAGGACCGGCTCACCCTTCCAGGCAGTTCCATCTTGCAGCTTGAGAGAGTGACACAGAGCCCGTCCGAACCTGATGGTGAACAGAGACACTGTGAACTGCGCAAGTCTAGTAGGCAGGTACGAAGACCCGCCTACTTGCGTGATTACGTTACCCCACCCCTTGGATGGAACCAAGAGGGGAGGGGTGTTCCATACTAGCAGGCTTGTAGGCCTGCATTCCTATTGGTCCGGAAAAGCCGGGCCGTGATTGGACAAAACTAAGCGTTCTGATTGGTTCTTATTCGGCTGCCGCAATTGGGTAAAACCAAGCGCGGCAAGCTCAAATGCATGTCATAGGCTGCCTAGCTGCAGCCAGCTCTATAAAAGGAGCTGCCTCGGCTGGGAGTCTTGTCTTGGTATCTGGTTTTCCTAATAAAGAGCTGTTGTCACTACTTCGAGTCTCGTCTCTCCTTGGGAGCCACCGCCCAGACTTAACAACAACCATCCTGGCCACACCCCACAAACATCAACCCCCCCCAGCCCTCTGAAGTCAGACAAAACCCTGATGCAGCCCTCAATGAAATCGAGTTTAACACCCCTGGTCTAGACTCTTCTTAAAAACCTCCAGTGATGGAGCAGCCACTTCTGAAGGCAAGCTGTTCCACTGGTTAATTGTCCTCAGTGTTAGGAAGTTTCTCCTTAATTCCAGGTTGCTTCTCTCCTTGATTAGTTTCCATCCATTGTTTCTTGTCCTGACCTCTGGTGCTTTGGAGAATAATTTGACCCCCTCTTCTTTGTGGCAGCCCCTCAAATACTGGAATATTGCTATCATGTCGCCTGTAATTCTTCTTTTCTCTAGACTAGCCAAACCCAAATCCTGCAAATGTTCCTCGTTTTAGTCTCCAGGCCTCTGATCATCTTAGTTGCTTTTCTCTGAACTTTTTCCAAAGTCTCAACATCTATTTTGTAGTATGGTGACCAAAATTGGTTGCAATATTCCAGGTCTGGTCTTACTAGGGTTTTATAAAGCGATAGTCATACTTCACTCCACTGTTTCAAAATAGCCAGCATGTCCCTAAAGTAGCCTTAACACACACACAAAAAAAGACCCCTCCTCACACCGTAGCCCTTGCTTTCCCAAAACTCTCCAAAGCATTCCAGGTGTTAACACCAAGATCCTCAGAGGAGCCGTGGCAGTGAGTGGAATGCAGCATTGCAGGCAAACTCTGCCCACAGCCAGGAGTTCGATCCTGACCAGCTCAAGGTTGACTCATCCTTCCAAGGTCAGTAAAATAAGGACCAAGATTGTTGGGGGCAATACACCGTACAAATATGAAGCGATACATGCCATATTTTTCAGAGTATAAGACACTCCCAAAGTATAAGATGCACCTAGCTTTTGGGGAGCAAAACAAGAAAAAAAAAATCTGCCTCTGCCTCCCAGCAATTTGTCTCCTTGCAGCAAACAGCAAGTTTCAGTTTCAGCACAGCCTGATTAGCACAAGCAGCTGATTGTCTGTTGGATCGGCCTCCCAACAATCAGCAGTTTCAGGCTGCAAGGATTGCCATCACCTATTACTGCCTCTGCATACCCCATTTTTGGCCTCCACATCCCTTTTTCAGCCTTTGCATGCCCCATTTTCCACCTGTTCCGATCCCCACAGCCTAGAATGGGCCGAAAATGGGAAGCGTGGAGGCCGAAAATGCGGGTGGGAGGGGCTTCAGCAACATTTGTTGTATAAGATAAACAAACAATTCCACCCACTTTTTTGGGGGGGGGAAGAGTGTGTGTCTTATACACCCCAAAATATTGTAAGTCTGAGTGTTACAGCTCTTGCTAACCTGGTGCTATTTACCTTTTCCCGTACAAGCAGGGTGACAGCCAGCACCCCGTTCATATTCTCGTTGCTTTTGCTGTTTGCAATCTGCTTCAGGAATTCCACTTTCTTTTTGCTGGCCATAAATATGACCTTGTCTTCGCAAAAAACCAAGATGGTGTCCGTGAGTTCATAGCCAAAAAGCCACGTCTGGAGAATGGGGGAAAAGGGGGCAGATGATCAAAACCTTTTCCCACTACATATCTGAGAAACCCTCCTTTCCCAAAACTGCTTGAGGCAAGAGCAGGCCAGGCCCAGCCTGACTCACCTGCAGGGCTGTAGACTTGGCATAGACGGTCTCTTCGTCCACACCCACAGAAACCATGATAGCATCAATGGTGGCATATTCATCCTCTCCTTTCTGCAGGGAAAGATAAGAATTCCAACTTTAGGCAGATTTTGCTATTTAATGCCCACTGGATTTTCCCCACAAAAATACCTGCTGCATGTGTGGAAGGTCCCGCCCTATAGAGTTGTTAAATGAATCAATTTCCCCAAATGGACATTTTTTTGCTGGACACAGGAGGTAAATGCAGGAAACTGGCAAAAAAAAATGTTTTAAAAAATGGTCATGTGACCACAGGATGCCACAAATGGCCATAAAGGTGAGCTGACTGCCAAGCACTCAAAATGCAACCACTTGATTACAGTGTGTATGTGTGTGTGTGTTAGTACCCTTGTGTGTGGCTATCATTACTTTGAAAATCATTTTGAGAGGGTCCATTGTAACTTTGAATAGACTTTAAGCGACTGGTTATGACTCAAGGATTACAGGTAACCCTCCACTGACGACAATTGAGCTCAAAATTTATGTGAGAAATTTCTTAAGTGAGTTTTGCCCCATTTTACGACTTTTCTTGCCACATTTGTTAAGTGGATCACTGCCTGTTAAATTAATAACATGGTTGTTAAGTAACTCTGGCTTCCCCGTTGACTTTGCTTGTCAGAAGGTCACAAAAGGGGATTACATGACTCCCAGACACTGCGACTGTCATAAATGTGAATCAGTTGTCAAGCATTCGTATATAAATCACGTGACTATGGGGATGCTGCAACACTTGTACGTGGGGAAAAACGGTTGCAAGTCACCTTTTTCTGTGATGTTGTAATTTTGAATGGTCGCCAAATGAACTGTTGTAAGTCGAGGACTACCTGTGCCTGCTTTTATGTAACCAGCCATTACATTTTATACTGAAAAATGGCTGTTGGTATTGTGAGGTGGCGGCTCAAAAGACCACCACAATTCGAAGTTGATCCAAGGAAAAAGGCTTTATTGAGTACACATCTGCAGAGGTGGGTTCCACCCTTGGCAGCTGGGAGGAACCCAGAGCATAGCATTTACTCTATTCTTATACCCTAAACTACCGCCCCATTATGCAAATGGCTTGGTTTACAGTCTACCTTTCAGAACACAGGTTACTATTTATTACCTTATATGGTGCATAGCACGCAGCAAGCACTTCCCTAACATGAGAGCATAAATCAACATATCATGCGCGAAGTGCATGATAGTTCAACAGTTCAATCGGTACCTGGCACTTCCCTACCTTAACGACATTCCTTTCAACATGAGGTTTGAGTCATAAAAAATGGATACTTTAATCTAACACTTCTCACAATACTCCCTTTTCTTGTTCCATCCTTGACTCAAACTCAGTTAATAAAAAGTCTGCTGTTTCCCATAGTTGTTCTTTGGGAGGTTCCTCCAGGTGCCCCAATGGGTCATATTGTTGTCTTAACACCATCATTTGTACTGTGTCAATTCTATCTTTCATAAAACTAATTAATTTGTTTAAGATACATGGACCAAAGGTGAGGATTAATAATAACAAAATTAAAGGTCCTATTAAAGTGGAGATTAGGGTGGTCATCCAGGGTGATGTATTGAAGAGAGATTCAAACCACCCTTGATGGTCATCCCTTTCTCTTTTTCTTTGGTTCAGTCCTTCCCTCAGTTTTTTCATGGAGTCCTGTACTATCCTGGAATGATCTGCATAAAAACAACATTCTTCTCTTAACGCCACACATAACCCTCCTTCTTGAAGGAACAACAAATCCAGTCCCCTTCTATTCTGTAGAACTACTTCTGATAAAGAGGTTAGGGATTTTGGTAAATGTGAGATGGATGTTTCTATTCGTTCTAAATCTTCATCGATAGCTTGTCTTAAATAGTTATATTGGCTGTATTGAGTTGTTATAGAGGCTATTCCAGTCCCAGCCCCTGTTGCTCCCAACCCAACCAGCAAAGCTATGGTAAAAGTGGAGATTGGTTCCCTCTTAACTCTTAAACGTCCCCCTTGTTCATACAGTTGATACATCTCACTCTCGGAATGAAAGTAAATTCTGGGTAAATATTTGGACCAAAATACAAAACCTCGCTTGGTTTATTATTTTTCCATATGCACAGGCAGTAAGTCCCGTATTGCACGCCCACCATCCCCCCATCGGAGGAATATAGTATTGTTTTTCCTGGATGGTCGAGTTAGTACTATTACAGTATTGTTGATACTTCCTGGGGACTTTTCCTATACACACACCTTGGCCCGTTATGGATTGGAGTGTTTGACTACCTTTCTTCCACCTGCAATCCTGATCCGACTCTGAGACATTGTATTCCGCTACCATCCCCACTCCTTCATAATAAGGGGGCTGTACGTTATAACAAAACCAGCAGGAGTTAGTCAAATTGGGATTGGAAGCACAACTCCAGGCTGCACAATAAAACTGATCGGCCCCTCCACAAGTCTTTTTGTAGCTTCTTTCAGTTTTATGTCCAGGGCAGATGTAAAAATGGTGTTTCTTTATGAACTCGTCATCGTTGGTGGACAAGAGGACCCTTCCCAGGTCAAATTGCAGTTCTGGAAACCAAGTATTGGGAGGCCTCTTTTCGCTAGTCCAATTGACTATATCTGAATGGTAATCAAGTACAACCCAGGTAACATTCTGGGGTTGATGTGAATTCTCGCTTCCCCAGGAAGTTCCCAGTCCTAGTCCTAGTCCTAGAATAAAGACAATTAGCTCAGTCCAAGGTTCAGACTTTTTCATCTTTTCAAGGTGAGCTTCAGCGGCTGACCATCCACTGGAACTGCCCTCCAAGGTCTTTCAGGTTCCGGTGCCCTTTTGACTCTACTGTAATGCGTCCAGCCTCCTTCCCGAGTGTGAACTGCAGATTCAGTTATCAGCAGCACCTGGTACGGGCCTTCCCAGCTAGGTTGCAGCTTCTCACTTTTCCAAGTCTTTATCAGAACCCAATCTCCAGTCTCAAAGGGATGTTGGCTCCCAGCAAGAGGTGTTCGTTGCACCAATAGTCCCTGTTTATGGAGAGAAAGCAAAGACCTGGACAGTGCCTGCAAATATTTTCTCAAGAACAAATCTTTAATTTCAGGAGTTGGATTCCCTATTTTTGCCAAGTAGGGTCGCCCCGTTAGCATCTCGAATGGAGAGACCCCAGTGTCTTTCCTTGGACATGTTCTGATTCTGAGCAGTGCCAAAGATAAGTTCTTTGTCCATGGTAACCCATTTTCCAATTGTAATTTGGTCAAATGTTTCTTCAATTCCCCGTTCGTTCTTTCCACTTTCCCACTGGATTCTGGGTGCCAAGGGGTGTGTAAATCCCATTTCACCCCAACAGCTCCCATCACAGATTGCAACACTTTTTGTGTAAAATGTGTCCCCCTGTCAGAATCAATAGCTTCCATCATCCCATAACGAGGAATGATTTGTTCTAACAGGATCTTGGTTACTGTGGGGGCAGTGGCTCTCCTGGTCGGATAGGCCTCCACCCACCCTGTCAGTTGATCTTTAATCACAAGCAAGTATTTCCAACCCACCTTTTCTGGTAATTTGGTGAAATCAATCTGTGCTCTCTGGAAAGGCCAGCTCACTAGGGGTCGCCCTCCCATTTCTTTCTTCCTTGCTGCTTTCTTGTTTACTTTCAAACATATCAAGCATTTCCAGCAGATGCTCTGGGCTAGTGTCCACATTTTAGGACTCCAAAAATGTGGCTTCACAGCTGTCACCAGTGCCTCTGTTCCCCAATGTCCTCCCTCATGTACCTTCACCAGAATTCCTCTCATTACATTCACAGGAACCACTCTCATTCCTTCTGAGGTTCTCCACCCATTCTCCGTCAGTGTACACCCTTCTTTTTCCAAATCATCTTTCTCTTTTCCCTCCGGTTTCCAATCCTCATCCTCTTCCATTTCTAGCAGGGGAATTGATGCCATTACCAGCTCCACCTCCCTTGCAGCTTCCTTCACCCACTTGTCTGCCAACCTGTTCCCAACTACCTCTGGGGTGTTCCCTTTCTGATGAGCATTCACATGCACTATTGCCACTTGATTTGGCAGTTGCAGGGCTTCCAAGGCCTGTTCTACAAGCTGTAATTGTTCAACTTGTTTCCCATCAGCCTTGATAAAACCCCTCTCCTGCCAGTTTTTACCAAAGGTATGGACCACACCCCAGGCATATTTGGAATCAGTCCAGATTGTCACATCAATCCCTTCAGCCAACTCCAAGGCCCTCTTCAGAGCAAACAACTCACACTTTTGTGCAGACCATGAAGAAGGAAGGGAGCCCTTTTCTATGACCTCCCCTTCTCCTGTCACGACTGCAAATCCTGACTTCCTCTTTCCTTCCTCAACCCTGCTCGATCCATCCACAAACCACCTTTCCCCATCTTTCAAAGGAGTCTCTTCCAGATCCTCCCTCACCTTTGTTATCAAATCTACTTGCAACAAACAATCATGGTCCTCAGCTTCCCACTCCTGCCTTCTCCCTTCTAAAAATTCGGCTGGATTCAGGTTCCTGTCAGTCCCTATCACCACATCAGGACTTGTTCTCAGAATGGTTTCGTATTTGAGAATTCGCCCTTCCGTCATCCAGGTTGTTGCCAACTGACTTAGCACAGAGGTGACCTGGTGAGGAGAATGTATCACTAAGGCTCCCCTGAAGGTCAACTTTTTGCTTTCCACCACTAGCACAGCTGCTGCAGCGACAGCCTGCACACACACCGGCCATCCTCTCACTACAGGTTCCAATGTTCTACTCAAGAAAGCAACAGGTTGGAAGCATCCACCCCTTTTCTGAGCCAACACCCCAACTGCTGTCCCCTGAGCCACCAAGACATAAAGATGAAACGGTAGCTTCAAGTTAGGCAGTGCCAACATTGGAGCAGTGGACAGACTCTCCTTCAGGCTTTCCCATCTTTGGTTGTCCCCTTCTTCCCATTCAATACTCTCTCCTTTCCCCACCAACTTCTTATGCAGGAACTGAGCCAGAACCGTGTACTGGTTTACCCAGATCCTACAATATCCCAGCAGCCCTAAAGCTTTCCTGACTTCTGTCTTATTTCTAGGAGGA